CTAACCCTAATGCTAATCTAAGAAAAACGCTACGAGCAACTCAAAACGTTGAAGAATCATCGAATAATCGAAATAGGTGATCTATGGAAACTCTTTGCCCAAATCTAGAGGCTGTCAGTTTTAGCAGAAATTCTTTGTCAAAAATAATCTGTTCCCGTTAGTCAAGCATTTTTCGTCTACTAGTTACTGCAATAGCGTTCCCAAATCTTCCTCTTAAATTATGTTCAACTTCATGAATAGAGCCCGGGTCGTATACACGATTCATGACCAGTCCTACCTTGAACGACTCTTGCTTCGAGTCTTGTCCTTCTTTCTTTTCGACGAACCGTTCTCCTTATCTTTCTCGGCTGCTGGGGTCTCCTTGGTATCAGTGCTCACTGTCTGCAAAAAGAAAATTAAACCACTATATCACCACGTGAGAAATAAATAAGTAAAATGTTTCCTGTCAGATTCAGAGGTGAACCTAATACTGCTCTGCTTGCATAAAGATTTTGCCAATTTCTAACATTTTATGTTTAAGAAAATTAGGATGTTCTCGCAGAAATTCACAAAGAAAATCCAAATGAAGAACTTATTCCCAAAGTATTCATAAAGTATACGCTTGTTATTACAGTGGAAACTGCTGGAAAATCGAGATATTCGGTGGTAGGGGAGATGAACAACTTCGGTCATTGCTTGTCACTTGTGAAAAACCATTGCAGGATTTTTCGTTGATAACCATGGCAAAATTTATCAAGTTGCACTTTTATACTACGCCAAAATCCTCTTATACTTTCGGTTTTAAGACTATTAACGATTAACGTGCTACACACACAATTTAGGTTTCAAACTAAATGTACCTACCTAGTAATGGGTTTCTTTTTTTGTAAAACTCAAGAAGGAGAAAGCAAATCAGTAAGGAGCCTTACTACTAACTCAGTGTTTATTATCAAAGTTCGAAACAAGAATGACTTTTCGAAAAGGTAGCCTATTCTCCCTCGACTATTCCCTTTGTTTGGGAGCTACCGTCTCGTCGTGGGCAACGGGACAATCGTACTCAACAGCTTTTAACCAATCTAACGATAACGTATGTCTAGGGTATTGATCAACATCGAGGAGCCTCTAATGAGCCAACCAAAGAATGCGACAGCAACAAATTCCAAGAATGCCCACCACAGTGAATGCTGAACGGCTCGTGTAATGGTTTTAGCACTCTCACCGTTGAAAACATTTCTAGGAATCTGGGACCATTTGGGAACAACTGGGGCAAACAAACTCAAAGGTATCGAGAAAGTTTGTTTACCCGATTATGTACTTTTGAAAAAACATATCAACACTTGTGAAACAAAAAAAGAAATCATCTGCTACCCTGTATTCACTAATGTGAAATACAAACATACAACTCTTCACTGGAATTCTCCGTTTACAAACATACCTCTGACGATTTCGACTCCAAGGCATTTTCGAGCATATCGTCGACGTCGAAACCAGCATCATCAGCCATTGTGTCCTGTTGTTTGAGAGAAGATAAACTGAAGAAGATCTATGTCCTCCTTCTGCCACAAGCTCAATTACGACTGACACCAGTATGCACACCGTCTACTTCGCTCGCAACGGCGTCACGACGAAAATTTTATCGATCGCATGCGCCACCCTTTTGTCAATGGAGCACGATTGTTGAATTGGTGGGAATTCGAAAGGTTGGGTTGATCCATGAAAATGGTAAAGGAATGTGGTTTGGATGAGTTCACTGGAGGCACGTCCGATCGGACTGAATGGCTTCAGGTGCGTTGACTCTACAACACCACGAGAAGAACACAGAATATCGATAAAATCCTATCAAAAGCAGTAAAAAAGAATATAACGATGCAACAGGGATCAGTACTGAACTTTACGATTTACCGTAATGAATAAAATGCAGTAAGGGAGGTAAGGGCGGGGAGGGAGGTTATGAGAGAGTGGGAGAGTACTCGCTAAAACCTAGTTTTACAAAAATCTTCGATGTTTAATTTCCACATCGCAGTTATATGGTAACCGTTGAAGGGTTTAGGGTGCACCATTACCAGTGAGTGTAAAGTCATTCTTTTTCCATTCTCGAAACACGTGAAACTTCTGATTGGGAGAGAGCAGTGTATACAATGAGCTGTTATATAAGCTGTTATTACAAGAAGCTTCGAGTTACAGCAACTGATTAAACAATTTCTTGTGAAAACCCTTGATCGCTAATAGCAAGGAACCTTTATGAACAAAAACAGATGAAGTTTCTGGCGTCAATCAATCCCGTTTGAGGATGCGCCCCGCATTCGACTTCCATTCAAAATCGTAGTGACGCGTTTGAATGCGTATGTGGCTTACACAATGTCTTGTCGTGGTCAGCCGATGGACTAGTTTGTGCTTTTATCATTCCAGACGAGTCTGGTATCAATTGACCGACCCCAAGAGGATAGAAGGCTTGGTTGGCCTAACGAGCATCGGTCCGGGATTCGAACCCCCATGCGCGTATGACAGTGCGCCCCTTGCCCTTACACCAGCTCCACCTTTCACATTGATCCTTATTTATTTTGGTCGATCAACCAAAAAGGATCAAAATAGTTGCTGCGGATTCACGTTGGAAGCCAGTTGTGTTCGCAAATTTGTGGAGGTTAGGGCGAGCCAGACCAAATTTCTCATCGAATTTTTTCATCGAATTCCAAGAGTTGTAAACTAGTTCAGCTAATTTCTTGACCACTTACTAAGTGTAAGCGTTAACCCCTCTCAGTGGAATAATGCGGTAAGTATAACCTTCACAGGTATGATCCGTCTCGAACAAAAAGCAGAGAGGTGAAGCAGCGGCAAGGCGCGCCGTAGCGTGCCTGCGGGAACCATGGGAACGTCTCCGCTCCATTTCAACAAGGACCTCAGGTGAGTTCCACTCCAAAGCAACAGATTTCTCAAGCTTGCGCGGGCACATACACTTTGTCGGATTGAATTGTAAAGAAATCGCAGGTCCCAAAAAACTTCAGGACTATCGTACTGAACTTCGTAGGTAAAAAAATTCGTCCCCAGTACCATACAGAAGTAGGAAACGTGGCGCACTCGAAGGTGCTGCGCAACACTGAACAATCACTGGTAGGCCTACATAAATACACGTGAATACATAAAGAAAATCGAAAAGCGATCTCAGCTTTGTAAAATATATTGCTATTGGAGCACGATTTGTCGCTGCAGCGCACAAATCAGCCGAATTTTCGCTAAACGCTGTCCCGAAGGCCAGGTAATGCATTCTTTAATTCAGCATAATGACAGAATGGTGTTTTTCAAGATCCTGGTGATCTAGCCGTAAATCGTTCCCGTCAAGAGAAGTACAAAGCGGAACTTCACTAAAGCAGAACAACCTTTCAGCCAAGTATTCGATAATTACTACGTAAGCGTTTCTAAGATGACTTTCGAGAATGATGTGGGACGCCCGGGAGTCGGCACTTACTGAAGTTGTTCCAATTTCAAATCTAACCCTATGGCATTCTTCTGGAGAAAAGTGATTCCTTTGGGCAAAAAAGGCGAAGACGGCACCATAACGCAATGGGTGGCGTGTGAAGGTCTACCTATTACGGTAACTTATCGTAACAGGTAGACCTTCACAAATCCAAGTTCTACTTGTACATGGTGATTTTAGCTGAGAGCGTCGTAATTGGCGTCATTAGGATTCGGCCTCAATGAATGACTCGACCGATGGGTTGCGGGATGGATGACAAATAACTCGGTGCTCTGTTCGCTCGATGAAATCTGGCCCTAATTGACTGGCTCCGGAAGAAAAGAAGCCTTTTGTGCGACTCAGCTGCTTAGAAGTAATGTCGTACTTTATGGAAAAATAATGGCACCGCTGCACCATTTCCGTTCGATAGACTTTATTTTCATTATTAACGATGTCTACGGGGAAGTGTAAGGGTGTTCACCTATGACTGTCCTGCACAGAAACGGAAATCTAGTAC